AAGAGTGCGGGTTCTGCAACTAGACAGATACAGGTTGTCTCTGCCACTAAGCAAATGAAGTAGTAACAAGCTATATCCCGCATGATATATCTATCCCGTATGATCATCATATAAAGTGCTTAACACTAGGTCGCTATTGAGTCACTAGGAAACCATGAGTTTTAGGTACACGTTTTAATTACTGGTCTACTATAATTAAATGCAAGTAATCAGAATATTGTGGGACCCAACAAACAAGAACCCCACTTCATGGCAGCCTGATTGTAATTCATAGCAACCCCGCACAGGTTTTCCAAGGCTGTAAATCTTTACTGGAATAGAAAGCCTCATTTTTCTATTGCAAAGTGTAAGGCGGCTTTGTACTGACTTGGCAAGTAGCAGCTCCACTAAGCTAATATTGCTTAATCTTCACATGCAGGTCACCTGTACACTTTGCTCACTCCATCTTAGAAAACAAACTCTCAGGTAATTATAGATTTATTTGAACATTTGACTATTAATGGTGTTGCAAATGTGTACATTTAAAGTCTTGCTCCCAAGATACGGTCCAGCTTGTTGACAGCAGTTATTAGGTGCCACTGAGTCATTTCCAACTCTCGGAAACCTCAGTACCATAGAATGAACCGATGCCCAGACCTGCGTCATCCTTGCAACTGTTTGAGACCATTGTTGCAGCCACGATCAGTACATCTTGTTGAGGGTCTTCATCTTTTTTGCTACCTTTCTACTTTATGATACACCATGGCCCTTTCTAGGGACAGTCCCTCCTGATAACATGTTCAAAGTCCTGAGGCAGTCTCACCATCCTTGCTTTTAAGAAGCATTCTGGCTGTATTTCTTACAAGTCAGATTATCCTTTTAGCAGGCCATGGTCTTTTAAATAACTTTTCATCACAATTCAAATGCACCAATCTTTCTGGGTTCTTCCTAATTCATACATTTCATACATGTAAGGCCATTGAAAATACCAAGGTTTGGGTTAGGCACACCTTGGTCCTCAAAGTTCCATCCTTGCTCTTCAATACTTTAAAGAGGCCTTGTGCAAATTTGCCCAATGCAATACCTCCTTTATTTCTTGACTGCTGCTTCTATAAGCACTAATTATGGATCCAAGCAAGATTAAGTCCTTGAGTTTTGCAATAGGGTTTGGGTTGAGTTTATCCACTAAATTATCAACACAGTGATTAATTTCTGTTAAGAGAAATTATAGCCGATCTGAATTGCCTTTCATTCTGCTTTTATATATTAACTATTTTTACATGAACAATCCTTTTATTAAAAACGATAATTTAAAAGACAAAAGATACTTGACTCTAAAGTTCTTATCAATAGTTCTACATGTAAATTTGTAAGAAATCAGTGACTTTAACTGAACCATTAATGCTTTTCATGGAGAAGGGAGAACATTATTTGCAAACAACCTTTAGCTTGAAAGGTGAAAAAGAAAATCTCATGCCCTCTTGTGGCCAATACTTTTATAGCTGTGTGCCTTTTCATTGAAATTGTAAACCAAAATAATACCAAGATACTATTTTATTGTAATCCCTCACACTATTATTACTAATCTCAGAATAACCATTAGTAGAGTTTAGGGGTTATCTCCTCAGCCCTCTGAGTCTCTGTGTGGTGCCAATTCTTAACGTACTCTGGTATTGTAACGCCCTGCTATGGTTTGTCCATGGTAGTTCCCTGCATGGATGAATAACATTTACTTAACTGCCCGTCTATTAATAGCGATTTGTGTTTTGAGTATTTTGCCATCTGAAACAATGTTGGAATGAAATTTTTCAGAGGGTGATCTAACAAAAATTTCTGGTCCAAAAATACGCACATTAAAATTTTAAGTATCAAACGATGTTATACCCTTTTAAACGGCTCTGTACACTGTCATTCACATTACTGTCTTGTAATTATGCTTTTAATTTGCCTTTAATTACAATTGACATTGATAACTTTACAGATATTTGTTTGCTGTGACAGTAAAATTGTATGTAGGCATTATTAAACTTCTCTCTCAGATAGATGCTTAGCATATTTCCTGAATGTTCATATTATATATAGCTTTTTTCAATCAATGGATGGCTGTTTAAGTAATAATGTTATTTCCATGTCTTACAAAATTTATACAAGTGATCCATGACTATACTTGTTTTTCCTGTAAGTCATTTCTATAACTAGCTCTTCTTTTTTCAGGGTAGAAACAAACAACTAAATGCAATACTTTTAATTTATGCTGATTATTTGATAACCACCAGCCACCCTTAAATGCTTTGATTTGTTTGCTACAAGTCCTAATAATGAGTTTTCATTGTAATCTATATCTTAGCGAATGTCGAAGATGAACTACAATGCTATTAATTTGGGAGGTAGTGAGGCTGTGTGCAGGGAATCAAGTACACACATTTTAAAGGAAATGCATGAGCAATTACTATTGTGCTTACGTGCCAACATCCCACTGTGATGAAGCGAAGCCCTAAAGCTCATTTTATAATACAGGGTGGTGTGTCCCCAAGATACTCACAGCACTACTGACTAACACACTAAAATACAGATTACAGAAGTTACATGGAAAAATTTGGCAGGAGCACTAACATCTCATGCTGAATCACCAAGTATGTGATAACGAAAAAACAAAAAATTAGAGCCGATCATAAAGGCAACATTATTAATAATAGATATTGTACAAATTAAAATACATTAAATTACATAATTTCACACATAATTATTTTTGTGTGGTTTTCCCCCCATGACTAATCATTGGTGAAGTTGTTCCTGTAAAGATTTGGAGTCTTTTATATGTCTATATGGTTTCATGCCTTTATACAATTTCCTGGATATAGTTATGCATGTATTTTCCCTTTTACTTTGGCCTCCAGAATGAATTGGTTCTTGTGAAGGTGCTATGTGTGGAATGCTTCCAAAGTAGTCAATTCTTTCCGAGTATCTGTTATAAATTGAATTGCCTCCTCAAAAAAGAACAGTTGAAGTCCTTAAAAAAAAGGTGTTTTTTTTCCTGTAATATAAGGTGCAAAGAATGGTCTGGTGTGTGCCAAAAAGAGTGCTTCCTTTCTTGGCAATATAGCTATTAGGTTTCTGAATTCTCATCTACTCTTTACTTACAGAACTCACAAACCCTAAGAATGCAATTTGTTGACCATGATAATTATACTCAACATGACACCTTTATAGTGATTACCTACTATTCTGTCATCGTTATCACAAAACTGTGTGGTCTCTAAGTATGTGAGGACACTGACTATCAAAAAGAGGTTATGCACATACATGTTCATTGTAGCCCTATTCACACACAATAGCAAAAACAGAGAAACAACTTAAGTGCCAATCAACAGATGAATTATACTAGCACATCCACATGCAATGTTAAAGAACAATAAAGGATTTGTAAAGCATCTCACAAGATGGATGAACCTGGAGGACATAATGAAGGAAATTAATCACTAAAGGACAAATACCATACGAGACCACTATTACAAAGAGTCAAGAAAATGTTTCACACAGAAACAGATGGTTACCAGGGAATGTTGGAGGCAGGAAGGAAAAAAATCACTAGCTGGATGGCAGATGTGTTAACTGTGAAGAGAAAGAATACACAAAGTGGAGGAAGTCAGCACAACATGGCCACGGCAAAGGAAAACACTAAGAAATACAACAAAGTAAAAGACAGTAACAACAAATTTAATTACATGCAAAATCAAATCCTGGAACAACAGTAATAATGCAATATATAAAATGAACAGGTGTCAGATGGTATAAGTCACCCAAACACATATATAGGTCTGCCATGTACTTCTACATATTCGTATGTGCTGCAAATACATCCAAATATATAGAAGTACACATGGGGCAAAGTCAGGAAAATTTGTTAGCCATAACCAAAGATCTCATGGGATAGTTACTTACTGGGCTTGTGGGCTAGGGATCATAGTCTCAGGGGGACATAAAGGTCATTGGGCATGACATGTCCCTAAAGAAAATGTTCTGCATCCTACTTTATTGAATATGTCTGAGGACTTGGAAAGCCCTGAGTAACCATCTTAAGATATAACTTTGTCTCTTCCCATCTGGAACAAAGAAAAAACCAAATATTCAGGGAAAACAATTAGTAGTCCAAAGAACTAAAGGACCACAGGCTCTCCAAGGATAAATCCAGGTAATGCCCAGCTACCACTACCAACCGTGTTGACCATGATCCCAGAGTAAGAAAATTGTTTAAGATATTTACAATCTTGGTAAGATCAAACGTATTATAAAGACAGGTAAAACCCCTAAGACTATGGTCGTTATATACCCTTTAAAATTTAGAATTGACCCACCCCCATAATAGGCTGGTGACTATCCATGAGGAATATTCAACTATGTTAGACAAAAAGGCCATATTTGCCCAGCAGAAAAGCTGAATGAATGGGAATGGGGAATCAAGATAGAAGGGCTCTGACACATTGAGATTGCAATCAACCTCTCACAATAATCTATGTATACTTTGTTGAATGGGAAACTCATTTGTTTTGTAAACGTGCATCTAAACCAAAATAAAATGATCTGTTCCGCTCAGTTTGAATAGAAACCTACTATGTTTTCAGGATAAAATAGGGGAAATTAAGGTTTAAAATATATTGAAAGTTGTACATGGCTTTACAATCAAAATTGAATTTCCAAGGTAAAAAAAACTGGGTTTTCTGATGAAGTTGAAAACCCTTTAAATGCCCCAGTAAACTGAGCTGACATTTTGCTATCATTGAGCTAGATTCTTATGATTTGTATAATTTTCTGTATTCTATATTTAAGAAATTTACCCAAAAGTTAACGAGTTGCCCCCCAAAATAACAGGCAATAACAGGTAATTTTGGGATAATTAAGGTCTTCCCATGGTTTTAGACTATAACTTAAAAAGGATTTAAGTGATTAAAAAAATGTCAGTTAAAAGCTTAACTTTGGAGGGGAAAAAATCCAAACTCAGATTGTTTTGTTTTGTTTTGTAGCTGAAGTACGCTTACAGGACTGATGGGATTACAGTGGTATAAATGTGAAGAACTACTGAAGAATCCTAAGTATTCTACTGTTCGATTTTAGTATTTACTAAATACTTTAACGTATGGGAAAATGCTTTCTTACAAGGCAGAGAGAGTATAAGAACAAGAACATTTCTGCTTTATAAATGACATTAGACATGTCAGTCAAATGTAATACCAAAATTAGGAAAATCTTTAGTAACTTTGACAGTAAAGATGCTTTACTATTTTTATATTTTCAATTGCTTTCCATTAATCTTATACCTTTTTATGCATCTTTTGATATTGTACCATTTGGGGAAAACAGTTGATTTTATATATGAAAATAAGTTGAATTTTTTAAATAAAATTCTGAAATCCTTAATGTTTATTTTTTTTGCTAATTAAACATGTTGAAATGGAACAAACCTTTTGCTTTCTCCTTACCTGTTTTATGCACAGAAGAGAAACACATTGTCATGCCTCAGACTATTTTTTATTTGCAACTACATGATTTTAAGCAAGTCTTCTAAACAATAACATAAAATAGGTATCTGCGTGTATAAATAACTTACACTTTCCATAAAATAAATGCTCAAAGGTGCTAAAACAGATTGTCCACTCCTACAGTGTTATCACATTCAACAAAGTTGATGCACAATATATAAATACTCAAGTCCAATATTAAAAACTCAGGCACTTGACTAACTTTAATAAAGTTTCTCAAACTATATCAATATATCTAAAGTGCATGTATATATATATATAAGAAAAGATTATTCTCAGTAACTTCTCTATAAAAATAAGTTTGATGGTTTAGTCCACCTAACTTTACTACTATGAATATGAACTCTGAACACAGTCAAGGTTATCCTGTCTTTCAACATGACACTAACAGAATAAAAAAAAAAAAAAAAGCTAATGAGGTGCTAACATGTGAGGATTAATCCAGTGATTTCGGTCACAATGCATCCCAGGGGGAGGTACCCATGTCACTGGAATTGGGCGATAAGGTTTATTCTTCCTTCCCTGATTTGGAAAACCAAATGGAACTGGAGGTGGGTAGTGACTTTGATGACCGTTCCCTCGGTACATTCCTGGTTTTTTTCTGGGCAAAGGATGCCACATTGGAAGAGGTGGGAATATCAGCTCTGAAATCTGTTTAAAAAACAAACAAATAACCTTAAGTTAATTCAATGGAGAAAGCAATCATAGTGTATGTTACCACTGTGTCCTCCCAAATTCCAGTCATCCACCCAAAACCCAAGTAACATTCTTAAATGTTAAACTATATTATAAGAACCTCATGCAATAAGCAATACATTACTATGTGAAAATATGCACGGGATCATATACACATTCAACAATTTTATACAAGTACAGCACAATGGAACTGGTTAGTCTTCATGCTGTTACCATTCTCACTGTCCCTCTCCACATTACTTCACCACCACCGATTCATACTCACTACCCAATACACTACCCACTGATATTTTAGTTAAAGCTGTCAGTTTAGGAACCTGGTGGCACAAAAGATTACACATTTGGCTGCTAATGATAAAATTAGTGGTTCAAACCCATGAGTTTGAACCGTGGGAAACAAGTAAGGCTGCCTGGTTCTGTACAGTAAAAATTTCTTCTGTATTTGACTTATTAAAATTGAATTACCTTCTCTGAGGCAAGAAATACTCATCAATTTTTTATATAGCTTCCTGTATTTAACTGTATATGCACACTTTTATACACACGTTCTGTATATTGCTCTTTGTGCTTTATAACCATATATTTTTCAGACATTCATATTAATTAAGACCTTCACCTCATTCTTGTTTTACAGTTACATAGTATTACCATGACCATACCATATTTAAATTAACTAGTCACCTATTAATGGGACATTTAAGTTGCTTTCAAGTCTTGCTATAAAACTAGTGCAGTAAAAACCCAAACAAATGCAAAAGCACAATATTAAAATAAAGTTAGCGCAATTAATTCTTGATGACTTACAATAATGGGAACAATACAGAATTTTAGATCACACTACTGACTTATATATCAAGATAATAGCAAAATAAAGTTTTATTTTCTATATTGAAATGCAGAGGAGACTTGGTGGCATCGTGGTTACACACTGGGCTGCTAACTACAAAGTCCGCATTTGGAAACTACTAATGGCTTCGAGGGAGACAGCCTTCTACTCTTATAAAGAGTTAGTCTCAGAAGCTCAGAGGGGCAGTTCTACCCTGTCCTGTGGGTTGCTATGAGTCACCTTTGACTTGATGGCAGTAGAGGTCAGTTGCTGATGTTTAAGTGCTGGGAAGCTTCTTAAATGGCCAGAGAGCAGATAGAAAGCCATTTTCTAGTTAACCTTACACCCCACAGGCAACCACTGTTTTGTAACGAGAACAGTTCCCCATTATTGAGCTTCATGTAAAATGATTCACTTTCCATGTATGCTTTTGTGCCTGCCTCTTTTCTGTTAAACCTAATGTTTATATGGTTCTTCTACAGTGTGTTGGTCACAAGTTTTTTTCTGTTTTATTGACAAGTATTAGTATACTGTATAAATATATCACAATCTGTTTATCCATTCAGCTTAATGGGCATTTTACTTGTTTCTAGTTTATTATTATGAATACAGCTGTTCTAAACAGTCCATTAGAAGGCTTTCTAGACATCTTTTTATTTCTCTTGGTAAGAATTTAGAAATGGAACTGCTGGGACTTCCAGTAAGATGGTAGACTCACTTAACTCACTGCCACTGAGTCACTGCTGACTCACAGCAACCCCTCTCTGAGGCTGTAACTGTTTATGGAGGAGAAAGCCCAATCTTTGTCCTGCAGAACTACTGATGGTTTCAAACTGCCAACCATGTGGATTGCAGCCCAACGCGTAACCAGTACACCGCCAAGGCTTCCAGATGTTGGATTATGCAGACTAGACAGACACATTATACAGACCCTCTACCAAAAGACCAGAAAGACACAGGTCATAATCCTGGAAACCTCGGCTTCACAGGAAGGACAAAGCAGTAGATGTCACTGAAGAAAAACTGTTAAAAGCAGTTAATTGTTTACACACTCAAACTCTACTAAGTTCATCAAGAGACATGTGGCGAGAGCCTAAGAATATACCAACATAACAAGGTCAACTGAATACAAATAAAACACCCTATTATGTTAGAAACAAAAGGCAATTTCAATTCAGTTAAAAAACAAGGCAGAATTGCGGCAAAACCAAGTGACCAAAGCACAGAGCCAGAAGACTTTCTGAGGATGAAATAGCATTGAAACTACCTGAAATGGAATTCAAAAAAATTCTGCAACATGTCAATAAGAAAAAAAAAGAAATGACCCAATTAAAAAGGGCACACGACAGGAACTGACAGTTCACTAGAAATTACACTTAAATGGCTAACACATGAAAAAATGTTCCATGATCGCTTGTCATCCAGGAGATGCAAACCAAAACAACGATAACACCTTATACTAGTGGTTCTCAACCTTCCCAATGCCATGACCCTTTAATACAATTCCTTATGTTGTGGTGCCCCCCAAGCATAAAATTATTTTCATTGCTATTTCATAACTAATTTTGCTATTGTTATGAATCGGGCAACCCCTGTGAAAGGGCTATTTGACCCCCAAGGGGGTTGTGACCCCCAGGTTGCGAACCGCTGCCTTATACCCACAATGAAAGTCCAATTCAAAAAGCAGTACACAACAAAGCAGGTATGGAGATATTGGACCTCTTGCACACTGCCAGAAAAGAAATCCCTTATAACTAAGGTTTATACTCCAACGTATTAAGAGACATACAACATATACTCCCTCGCGTTCATCAAGGCACAGTTCACATAGTAAGAAGCCTGAAACAGCCCAAATGCCCAATAGTAGAAGAATGGATAAAGAAACTGGTACACATACACAATGGAATCCCTAAAAATTTGATGAAACTACAAAACATCTTATGACATAGATAGACCTGGAAACCATTATTGAGCTAAGTTAGTCAATCGCATATGGTCAAATGCTGTATGACACACTACCACAGGGATAAACACCAATGCATGTATCCTCAGGTCAGCCATGTAATCTAATCCAGTCTCACAAGCAATGAGGTGTTGTGCCTGCCTAATGATCCTTATACTGCCTCCTTACTTACACACCTTTAAAATCACTTTAACAAAGGACTCATTTCCCTTTGGTGGGGGCATGGTGAAAAGTTAACAGCTCCTGCCACAAAATTGTTACTGTCATCCCAAATCAATTGGCACTCCTGCAAGGTTGATATGAACCTTATGGAAATTCAAGTCCTGAAGTGGGGTGAGCTGGGGGAACCTGTCTCAGAGAAAGTGGTTTCACTTGTTAGTGGGCAAATCAAGTGGTCAACTTGTCATTGGGAAAAACACATAATATTACTTATATGAATCCCCCCCACCTTCCAATGGGAGAATACATCTAGTATTATGTTCCTAATGGAGCACTTTTGACAGCTTCTACCCAGATGTTAGTGATCCAGGCTTCATGGTGGAGGCAACCAGGAATATAGACTTTTTCCTTCTGTTCCATACAATCTGATCTGGAGACCCCACAAAGTGAACTATCTTAAACACACCTGTAGAAGATTAAAGGAATTGAATTACTCTCTTGAAATTAAGACTGAAACGCTCGAGTGTCTGAGAAGAGACTACTTATTCTAGGTTCAAATCTCTTTCTTTGAGGGTGTTCAATAAATGGCAACTCAAAACTATGATGTTATTTGTTATTTTCAAATTCTGCTTTGTTACGTGTCTTAGTTCAGGGGCATAGTTCTCCCTTTGTTAATGAGCGTTGAGTTATGTCAATCTACAACTCTCATTGTTTATGTTAATAAGGTCCTGTCACAAGTTTTAAATCTTCCCAAGCAACAATCCATGTATTTTAACCTAAAAAGCGGTCATATACACATATACTGTCCTTGGTTAAATAGTAATGTCTCGTCTCTAAAGTGGACCAGAGACATATATGTCATAGATATGTAAATGTATTTTGAGCTTGTACTTAATCATAGCCTTAATTTAAGAACAAGTAGTTTTATTTTAATGGTTTTATTGGCATATAATTCACCCATCATACAATTCAAAAACAGAACAATTCGTTCTTATGACATGACCCTCCAAATTTGAAACTGGCCTTCATGAAGAGGTCTCTGAAGATATGGGTGCTATAGCAGAGTGTGAAGAAACCAGATGGTGCGTGGCTATCAAAAAGAATAGCATCTGGGGTCTTAACAGGATTGTCTTAAAACAAGCCACCATCTAAGTGAAGTGTCAGCTATGTACACAGAGAAGATGCACACCAATCTGTGTGAGTCAAGAATTGTAAATTATAAAATCCAATACCAGAGGAGGGATTTGTATACGACCTTAAATTCTGAGCACCTGGTTTGCAAAAGGGCAAGGATGACAGTGAAATGTCAAAATCCATTTGCAAGGCCCTCCACATGGATTAAGCCTCTGGTGAATCCCATACGACAACAGACTAGGCATGTACATAGTCTCACTATCACATAGAATGCCCTAGAAAATGGGTTGTTGCAGATTAAGTTAAAATTGGTTCTAATTTTATAACTTTCTGCTTTTTGATTGAGGTTCTTGTTTTATTTTGTTACTGTTATTGGAGTTATTTTTTTTAAAACAAATACATTAAATTTTTATTTGCCTGGAAAAAATAACACTTGCAAGCAGTAATCTTATAATTCATTTTCCTTCTGGACAAATGTTAACTACTTTAAATAAATTATAATTTTTAAAAATTAAATACTTTTATTGGGGGCTCTTACATCTCCTTTATCACATCCATACATTCATCCATTGTATCAAGCATATTTGCTGCCATCATCATTTTCAAAGAATTCTCTTCCTACTTGAGCCCGATATCAGCTCATTTCTTCCCCCTCCTTCCCTCACGAACTCTTGATAAATTATAGATTATTACTTTCATACCTTCTATCATCCTCCATTGCCCCTCACCCACTTTTCCGTTGTTCATCCCCTTGGGTTATAGATTGATCCTTGTGATCGAATCCCCCTTTCTCCCTCCACCCTCCCCTAATCTTCCTGGGATCTCTACTCTCATTGTTGGCCCTGATGGTTTATCTATCCTGGATCCCCTGTGTTGCCGGCTCTTATCAGTGTGAGTGTTCTGGTCTAATCCAATTTGTAAGGTAGAATTGATGACATAATAGTGGGGGGAAGGAAGCACCAAAGAACTAGAGGTAAGTTGTGTGTTTCATCGGTCTATACTGCACCCTGACTGGCTCATCTCTTCCTTGTGACCCCTCTGTGAGAGGATATCCAATTGTCTACAGATGGGCATTGGGTCTCCACTCCATGCAACCCCATTCACATTGGGTATGATTTTGTTGTGGGTCTTAGATGCCTAATACCTGATCCCATGGCGTTATTTTTATATCGTTTTCTTTATATGGAATGTGGGATAGGTAAATTTGTAGAGACAATAATTAGATTAATAGTTTCTTAATGTTATAGCAAGGGAAGTTGGGGGAAATGACATGCTCCTAAATGTAGTAATGCTCTAAAATCTAAGAAAATGTTCTTGAATGTGGTAATGTTGATTGTACTACCTTTTTAATATGTTTAAACACTGAATTGTATAATATGTAAATTAGATAATCAGTTTAATTTTTAATTAAAGAAAATATCCAATGAAAGCCTAAAAGTTATGTAGGCCACCACCAATAGGAATACGTCTATAACATTAGAATTGTGGAAACAACCCCTAAGAAACAGAAAAATTTTTTTGATGAGTTATTGGATGGAAACTACTCTAATACCATAACACACAAGAAGACAAGCATTCAAAAAAGTGAATGAACTATAAAGAGTAGATCGCAAATGAAAATCACCAAAACATATCACAATCAAATTTTATAAAACCAAAGACAAGAAAAGAATCTTGAGAGCACTTTGTGAAAAAATGAAAGTTACCAACAAAGGAGAACAGCAACAAGAAAACTAAATTCTGATTTCTAACAGGAACTATGTTGGCAAGGTGGCAATAGGATAACATAAAACTTTGAAAGAAAAAAAAATGCTAACAAAGAATCATATACCCAACAAAATCATCCCTCAAATATAACAATAAAATTAGAGCATTTCCAAATAAGCAGAAATTAAAGGAATCTGTAAAATCTACACCAACCTTATAAGTACTTAGAGGAAGTTCTTCACAAAGAGAACCATTAACTGCAGACACCACTGCAGGTATACCTGACTATACCACCTAGAAATATCCCAAGTAAAACAAATCCAAAAGGCTGAAAATAACGAAATGCACAAAGACCTGAAGCTAGTAATTTAAAAGGGAATGACATAATTACCATTTCTTATGCTGAAGGAACTAGAGAGAAAATAAAAGTCTCAAGTTACAGTTCTGAAGGATTCCATGGGTGAAATATTGAATGGTCCAGGAATCATCAAAAGATGGAAGAAATATAGTCATCAAAGCAAAACAAATTGGGTGACATTCAACCATTTGAGGAGGCAGCATATGATCAAGAACCACCAGTGCTGAAGGAAGTACAAGCTCCACTGAGGAGACTAGTGAAAACAAGACTCCCCAAATTGACAAATACCAATTGAGACTTCAATTGCAATATTTCAGCAGGTGGAAACAAACACATACACTTCTTGTCTATCCCAGTAACTGGAAGACAGCTACATGGCTAACTGATTGAAAGAGATCTACATTTCTGCCCACTCAAAAGGTAGTCAAATGTAATAATTATAAAAAAATTTTAAAAAATAATTAATTGTGCTCATAAGAAACCTATGCATAGATAAAAAAAATAATCATTTTAATAGAACAAGAGGACCCTGAAAGGGTTGTGGTAAATTGTATATTTTTACTTAAGTAACTCAATCTGAATGCTGAGCTAATAATCCAAGAAGCTGGATTTTATGAAGAACATAGCAACAAGAAGGGAGAAAGGCTTACTAACAATCCGTGATATGTAGATGCCACAACTTTATTTATGGAAAGTGAAGACAACTTTGAACACTTACTGATGAAAAATGGTAACTTTCAGCATGTATTAAGCCCCAAAGTGAAGGAGACAAAAGCCCTCACAACTAGACCCATAAGCAGTGAAGAGACTGAAGTTACTATGGTTTTTATTCTAAGTTGATCAACAATCAACACTTATAAACGTGGCAATCAAGAAATCAAACCCTGAGCAAATCTGTAACAAACAACCTTCTAAAACTGTTAAAAAGCAAGCATGTCACTTTGAGGATAAGGTGTGCTTGACTGAAGTCGGGGTATTTTTAATTGCCTCATATGCTTGCAAAATTGTGACAATAAAAGAGGAAAGCTGAAGAATATAAATGCATTCAAATTTATGGTGTTGGTGAAGAATACGGAATATACTGTGAACTGCCATTTTAATCAGACTTCCGAGAAGTACATCCAGAATGTTCTTTAGAGAGGCTAGTGAGACTTCTGACTTATTTTGGACATATCTGTCATTTGGAGAGAACAACTGAAGAAATACTTTAAAGTTAACAAAGCAAAAGTTCAGTCAAAACCCTCAATGAGATGGATTAATCGTGCCTGCAAAAATTACACGAATGTAGCAAGGACTATGAGACTATGCAGGAGCAGACAAAAACTGCTTTGACAACACTGAACAACATCATGTGTAGAACAAGCCTCAACGCAAAGCATCTCTTTAAAATTTTCTGACTTTAAAAATATATATTTTATTGTAATTTTGGTGAACATTTACACAGGTTGAGATTCTTTTAAAGGCATTAAATGCTTTTGGCATGTCAGGTCTAAGAAAATAAATGACTAATTCTGTAAATGCATGCACAGTGGGTATATGAATTTTCAACCATTAAAGCAGAAGGAAACAGTAAAAATTAACTAAAATATAATTCAACATGGTTTTTCTCTAATCACGAAAAAAAGTGGGATGGACCAAAAATCCAGAAATCTTAAGAACCACCTAAAAACTGAGCGTTCACATTTGAATTCAAGAATTTTAAAACATAAAAAATGTTTTCTCATGCCTTTTCTATACACTATCACATTTTTTGGGAAAAATATTCACTAGAACTACTGTGTAGTCCAGATCTTCAATAAAGTGACCCAAGATGTCTACTTACATGCCAGAGATCGATAGTATGGAAAAGCATGAAGTGCAATCTAGAATCCCCAGCAACATGAGCGGGGCTTCCTGAAGTAACCCTGCTCATGTTCTTCAATGTGTAGTCACTTGGTTACCTGGTACACAGGGCTAGGAGTTGCAGTCTCTGTACTGGGTTTCACTTCCTTACTGGTATCTTCATCTGAAGAAGACGATCCCGAATGATAATCGGAAGTAACCTTATCAAGAGCCCGGGTAACTTTCTTGGAGATCTCGTCCTTGTTCTCATCCTCATGTTCAAAGCTGGCAACAATGAAGGCATTGTTTTTTTCCCCGTATCTAAGAATAAAGTAAAATCCTTAATAAACCTTGAAGTCACGTTTAAAAAGCAAGAAATGCTTATAACAACAACCAAACAGGTCTGGACATGCCATCAGACTGATGCGAAGTAGGAGTCCACCCCAAACTTGACCCTACATATTCAACATTCTAACCCCATACATGCTCCATAAATACCAGCAAACAAGCCACAATTGTCTGCAGGTGGTCTTCAAGGGTAAGCAGTAAATTCTTTTACTATGCTATTCATATATGCCTGGGTTTATTCCAAATAAAATAGGTTTAAAATGTCTTTGTAATCAGTGGACAGCCACAAACAAGTTCTCTCAGTAATACAACATAATATTCTTATTAGAGTACCTTAAAAACAAATTTTTTTTGCCATAAAAAAACAAAGCAGGTGTGGGGAGAAGGGGAAGAAAGGGGGAACTGATCATACTGATCGACATACAACACCCCCCACCAGAAAAGTGGGTGAAGGGAGACAGCAGATGGTATAAAATATATAAATAAAAATTATTTACAAAT